CCTCCCCCCCCCGTCCCAGAGCCTCCTGCATGCCACGAAACAGCTGATCAGGAGGTGCTGGGAGTGGGGGCAGGAGGGTGGAGCTGTTGGAGGGCTGCTGACATATTACTGTGGCTCTTTGGCAATGTACATTGGTAAATTCTGGCTCCTTCTCAGGCTTAGGTTGGCCACCCCTGCACTATGAGATGAAAAGATTGAAAGATCTTGAAATACCAAAATAACTAGAGTATAATTCATATTGTAAGCTTGAAATGATTGGGTTTAGCGCTAGTATTTGAGCAAATGTATTTTTCTTTTGTGCATTTGTCATGGGGTGGTCCTTTCCAGACTCACTCACTCACCCGGTCTTCTTCACCACCACTGCACTTTAGCCGGTTCTGAGAGCGTGCGGAGTCGGTCGACGCTACGCCCGGCTCATGGTGTCCGACACCATCAGGTGGTCGAGAGACATTTATACGGAACACATCACAGGACACCGTCAATACCACATTGAGTAATTGAGACCGCCGACCAGGGAAATAACCCACTTCCTTCCCTGACGAACCAAGGGATGCACCCCGCCCATGTACTTATTCGCTACACCAATACTGACTTGGACTCCTTATACAGTCCATGGGTGGCGTACCCAAGCCCACTTATCCACTGACACTTTAAAAACTCTTGCACCCCAATCTGGGTCTATGCTGGTTATGTGATATGTATGTATCTCTTCATCCTTGCAACCGATACCTGTAATCCCTCATAACTCAAGCCTGACCCCAGATGTACAGTACCTTCCCTCTTAGCTTGTGTATATTTAATTTTAAACATTAACTTTAATAATAATCTTTCCACAGTCCACAGCTGGTATTGTTATTTACATATATTTAGAGTCCATAACCAGCTTCCCCACTTGTTTCTAGGGAAGGAACAGTACGAGTAGTAGCTAGTCACGTCTACCTCTGCCTTCATTCAGGCTTCCAGCACTTCCTTCCTGTGTGCTCATAAAATCCCAGCTGCTGGGGGTTGCTGCCCCTCAATTTGCCCCTCAGCTGTAGCTCTACTCAGTTAATTGGCACCTTAGGTCAGTTACCTGTCTTCCAGTTAAGTCCCAATTAACATACACTGGTGGGGAGCTGGGTGACAAGGTGTTGAGTTAGCTGAAGACTCAGCATGTCCTGTTACACCCTTTCATTTCCCAAACAAACACTTTTGAAACATGGACTTTCCTTCCTCCCTTTTAATTATTTTTGCATCAGTGGTACAGTTTCCCCCCCAACTCATAATCTGAGTGAGTCATTCTGCATCATTCTGTAAAGATTTTGTATAAATACCTTTTGCATAAATATGTTCAAAATGCACCGGAATCCTAAAAAATGAGGGAGGATTAAGACTGCCTGGAAAATGTACCCTGTGGATCACTCAGCGTTACTTGGCAAAGCAAAAGAAGTTAGGAAATCACAAGAGGAAGGGAGTAGTAATTTCTGCTGTGTAAGGCTGGGAGGTAAAAGATACAATACAGCTCTTAATGCTAAATCAAGAATTAGATTAGATATATGTTTTAGTTTTTTTAATATTTCTTAATATGGGCCAGATGAGAAGAATATGTTTAGCGTGAGGGAGCTGGATGGAAGCCCAATGGATTGGGTTCTACAATTTTATTATGAATCTGATTTACATTGGCAGTAACTGATATTAGTTATGTAAATGAGCTGGTGAGCTTCATCTTTCCTGAATGGTTGTTTTCTAGTTCTGAAAATGGGAGACATCTGCTTCCTGTAACAGACATTGAGGAGCAAATTGCCTTTTGTACATTAGTGGCCAAACGGTTTTCAACCCCATTTTACTGGGGACAAAATATCTGTGGTTGATAGATAAATTAGGGTTACCATATTTTGAGCCTCCAAAAGGAGGACACTCCACAGGGTCCCGCCCCCGCCCCC